GAGAGAGAGAGAGAGAGAGAGAGAGAGACAGACAGACAGAGACAGAGACAGAGAATGCAGCATTAACAACAGGTAGACAGATGAGATAAGGGACCTGACAGTGAGTGCTATCTACTGAACAGGGACAGGAAGAAAGAACACACCTGTTTGTACTCCCCCAAATTCATATGGTGGTGCCCTAATCCCCACAGTGAACAGCAGTACATGCAGACTCAGCTTGGGATATGATTGGATTTAGAGGAGGACATAAGGGGAGGGTCCTCGTGGTAGAATCAATCCTCTTAGAAGTGACTGCAGAGCTGGCTCTCTGCCACTGTTCTGTGAGCACTCTAGGGGAAGTGGCCATCCACAGGCCAGGAAGAGCATCCCAGGAAAAGCCCAGGAGCCAACCTCATCTCAGTTTCCCTGACCTCAAGAGCCATGAGAAGAAAACGCACATTGTTTAAATGGCCTTGCCCTTGTATTTATCCTCTTTTTTGAGGTCAGCCTATACGATAAAGCAACCATTGAATTGCCTCTTCCCAAACCTGCTGAGTGGTCTACATAAAGGATCCTATTGGTAGTAGAAAACAGAATACCTACACTGAAGTCAGTGTGGGCCAGGAAAGGTGTCCCTGACGGTGGGGTTGCACCCATCTTAAATCTCAGCTTCTTCACCTCTAAAAGGCAGAAAATTAATATTTTTCTGGAAGTGTTGTTGGCAGTTACAGGCACTAATGTGAGTCTTATGAAGGTCTTCAGTAAGTGACGACTATTATTAACACCGGGGGACTAGGTGACCAGTGGGTGGCACCTGGAGCAGTTGGGAGGACAGCACTGCTACCCACCTGAGCCTGATTGGACAGACTATCGAAGGGTTACTGCAAGAGAAAGAAAAGCAAACACAAAAGGCAAAGTTCCCAGCGTGATGCCTGGACTTGCTCCCTGGGAGAAAAGCTGTCATTCGGACTCCTGATCTCTGAATGGCTCATTCCAAGTGTGGTGTGTGAAACCCTGCCTTCCAGTTCACCTAACATGAAAGAACTCCAGGTGTATAAACAGTAAACTCTCCTCCCACCTGTGGGCAGCTGGACAGGGCTTGGGAAGGCAGAAGTCCCCCGGGCAGGCATCCTAGCTATCTTCTCTCTTCCCATCCCCAGTGGGCAGTGCTAAGTTTTTGTTCTGTTTTTAAGTCTCTGCTATGGTGGGAATAAAGGCTGGGGATGCTAGTGTGAGAGATGCTGATCAGGTGAGGAAGGAAGGTGAACATAATTAGGTTTCAGAACCTTCTCCATCCCTCCTCCTACAGTGCCCAGCATGGAGCTGCACAAAACAGGCACAGAGGTCATACCCCTAGTGTCAAGGCTGTTTTGTTAAGGTTCTGACAGAGTTGTGAGTATGCTGCAGGCGGCTTCATCTAGGGTGACGTGGGGGACATGGAAGAGAAGGGTGCTGCTCAGGCTTAACTTCACTCTGATGGCTGTGCTGTGACCCTGTTGCTCACGAGTCTGGGCCTCAGCGGCGTATATGCTCCAGAGTTCATGATGGGTATAGGAGCCTTGGCAGGTAGTACTGCTCTCCTGCTCCTGGACCTACCATCTCCTCTTCCCTCCACGTCTAAACAGGGCTTCTGTCCCTGTGCAGAGCACATGTTCTGTTCATTGTGGTCAATACCTTCCCCGTTCCAAAATGCACAAGAATTCAAATGTTTGTTGATGAAGCCTGTGATGGAAGTGGGTTTGCTTCACCTTTCCTAGCCTTGGCCGGGTAGGGTGGGGAAGGCAGAAGAGTGGCTATGGTGGGGACAATCTAGTCCAGAACACAGTGGAAGGAGAGAGACAGAAGCAGAGAGAGAGAGATTGAGACATCGGAGGAGGGAGAAGAGTGTGTTATGCAATTTGTGCCTGGGTTGTACCTTCTAGCTTTCGAATGCCTTCCCGCTGCCAGCCCAAACCCAGAGCTGGGCTCCACTGTGTAGCCAAGTGTTTGGGTCTATTTTTAATGGCAACCCAGAAGCCACCTGGGAAAGGGCAGGGTGACATGGTAGAGAAAGCTTTGTAGTGACAGAGGCTTAAATCTGGCCTGGCTGCCTCCTACCTGGGTGCCTCTGGGCAAGTCCCCAAACCTCTCTCTCTTGCCTGCACATGGGGGTGAAGGCAGTGCCTCACAGGGCTGCTGTGAGCCTGCCAGGTGGCACCATGCACCTGGGTATTCTGACATTTGTCCAGTGGAGAGGCATGTGGGTGGGAGAGATGGCTGCTTTGTGGGTGGAAGAGGCTTGAGCAAGGTCAGTTCTCCTGGAGCTGGACATAGCCATTGTCCCTGTCAGGTTGTATGAACACTTCAGTACAGAGGGCTGGGCTCTCCTGGACATGTATGGGAAACATCTAAGAAACTGAATCGGCTGTTCATGAGTTACCAGAGAATGCATCAGACTCTTGAGTTGTACCTGGGGCCTTTTTCACTGCCCACTGCAGTGCCCCTTGCTTCAAAGGTGTCATCTTATCATTCCCCCTCCCCTTAGTTTCGATGCCATGCTTATATGTTGGGGGGGGGAGTATTTTGTTAGAGAACAGGTAGAAATAATGCATTTTATCCACAAAAGCTACCATGGAGGTAATCCCCACCCCTTTGATGTCCCTAAGGAGTTGCCTGGGGTTAACAGTGCTGTCTCCTCTCAGCCCCTGGCTACCTTCTAGCCTGCATCACAGGAGGCGGCACCTGGAGCTTCTTTACTGTGTGTTTTGGTTTTGGGTTCTGTTGTGTTTCGTTGGTCTTTTTGAGACAGGGTCTCCCCCCTAGCCCCAGCTGGCCTGGAACTCACTATGTAGATCAGGTTGGCCTCCATCTCAAAGAGATTCACCTGTCTCCATCTCCTGAGTGCTAGCATTAAAGGCATGCAGAATCATGCAGGGCCCATACTCTGTTTTTAATGAGAAACTGGTGGTTCCCACCCAGTTACAGATTTGAGCCCCAGCAAGGAATCTTGAACTGTCTCAGCCCTGGGTCCCAGGATGGTGTCCTGGTCCTGGGAGGCACAGCCTGCTCTGCTGCTCTCAGAACCTCCAAGCTTTGAGGAATTAACAGAGGCAGCCCAGTTTTATCCATGGAGTCCCCCAGATGGCTCCCTTTGCCAGCCCAGCCAGCTGCCCAGATCAGCTCGGGGCTCTCTTGATGAACACTGAGTGCAAACTGCTCGAGGCAGCTGGCAAGACGTTAAGTGCAGCATCAATCCTAATTAGGATGAGGAATTAATAAAGGAGGCATTGGAGTCACCATGCAGGCCAGGCTTGCTGGTGCTAGTTTCCCTTGGGAAACTGAAAGGCCCTAGCTCCTTGAGTTTCTTGGGGTGGGGGAGTTGATGGTGGCATGATTTCCTGTGCCATGCAGATGGTACCCTGTGGAGCCTAGGAGATAGAACATGAGGGCCTTTGCAGCTCCTGCTCTATGTCTAACTCAGGTACTGTGGCAGGTAGTGACGTGGGTACATTCTCCAAATGAGAGGTGTAGGTGTTCGTGATCTGAGCAACTGCACACTCAAAATGTTTTTCAGAAGAAAAGAGGAGGGTGTGGATCGTGGGCCCATCAGCTCCTTTGTGAAGCTGTTTTCCCCCACCTCCCTCTTAACTATTGACTGCACATTTCTGTTATCTAAAGACTGCAGGAAGCCCTGTCAGGAAGCTCCTAAGTGCAGCTCTGATCTGGGTGTAGGTGTGGGGGGCAGAGGTTGACAAGATTCCTGGAGAACAGGCAGGATCTGCAGGGGCCAAGAGGGGACCTCACCAAGCAGACACAGCCTTACAAAGCCTCCTTTCAGAGGACGCCTAATGTGACCAGGAAGGGCTATCTTTCTAAGAGTTCCCTCCCCACCTCTGTCACATCTCCCTCCTTAAGTAGTGGCTGGGGCTCTCTGCAGTAAGGGAAACAGGGTAGATAGAACTTCCCAAACAACCGAGGGAGAGGAGGAGTGAACACTAGGGAAAGGCTGACAGAAAAAGAAAGCGGGAACTCTATCCAAGGATTTTTGAAAAATTCAAACAATGCTCCACCAGCTCCTCTGTTCTGTTCCCAGTCGGAAAACCAAGCCCAAGCGGCAGACCAGACCACAACCCGGCAGGACCAGACGGCCCCTCCTTAGACACCTGTTAGTTCACTTTTCGCAGTTGGGTAAGGGTTCTGGGAGGGCTCTAAAGCCGAGCGCAATTTGGAGGCATCTGGGCCGTTCCTCTGGAGGCAGCCGTCCTCACAGTCCAGGGGACCCAGTGCCGACCCCTAGATGCAGTCCAACCTTACAACTATCACCCAGCAGCCTCGTGTAAGTAGGGGGTCGCAGCGCCCCACCCCGACCGAGCGACCACGCCCCTCCCGGCCCATTCAGGGTCCGTGAATGGCCCTGTGTGCCCCAAGTGTCATTCCTACACAGGTCTCCCGCTGTCTCGGTGGCAAGGGGACATGACCCAAGGCTCCCTCTTGCAGTTAGGGGTAACGCAGCGTCGCTCCCCTCTCCTCCCCATCGCACACAGTGGAAGAAGAGATCACTGGACTGGAGCCACTCGGCTACCCAAGACTCCAGCGGGTACCCCGACCCAACCCTCATTTGGGGGCCTGGAGCAAACGCTTAGAGGCCCCGGCCGAGCCCCGCCCCAGGATGGCCAGTTCCCATGGCAATAGCACAGACACCGGTTGCCAAGCAACCCCTCCCCCTCCTCTCGCGTCCGATTCCCCCCACAACCCCAGCCTCCTCCCGCCCCCACACCAGCCTCCACCTCCCCTGGGGGCGCCGGCGAGGCCCCTGGGGAGCGCTCGGATCTCGTGTTGCGCGCGCGCGTGTGAGTTTCGGTGTTTCATTGTGTGTGTGTGTGTGTGTGTGTGTGTGTGTGTGTGCATGAGGGGGTGTGCGCGTGCGAATGGAGAGTTTGTGGGATCGGTGCGATGCGGAGGTCTCCAGCCGGGAGGGACCCGAGGATGCTGCACCGATGTCCGCTTGGGGACCCACCCTCCCAGCTCCACGTTCTTTGTGTCTAGCGCAGAGCCAGCGCCGCGCCCACCCCTCCCCCGGCCCGCTCCCAGGGGCAGTGTGTGCGTGTGCATGTATGTGCATGTGAGCGTGTGAGTGCGCTGGGGGGTGGGGTGGGGCGGTCGTACCTTCGATGCAACACACCCGCCACAGCCCGGAGTGGGTGAGGTCGCCGCGCGCGCGGCGCGGCGGGGGCCCGTCGTCCATGGTCAGGTTGGTGCCGTTGCAGATGTGCGCGCTGGAGTAGAGCCAGTAGTCGGTGCCGATGGCTATGGCCATGAGCGAGAAGGCAGCGAAGGCTCCGGCCGTGGTCAGCAGCATCTGCAGCCCGCGGTCGCATCGCACCATGGTGGGCGCCTCATAGTCCGCCGCCCGCCG